GATATGCATCTAAGTTACAGACGCAAATTGGGACTCTGGGTAAAAAAGTATAGACAGGAATTTATGACCCAAAAACGAGACCACTGGGCTTTTCAGCGAGTTATCCATCTTTCAGCCAGAGCCACAGACTAACTCCCACTCTTAGACTCTGCTGTCAGATGGTTCTGAGAATGCTGGCATTCATCTCGTTTACGGGTCCACATGTTTCTAGTCATTCACTATCAGGTTTCATCATTAAGCTGAAGTCACCTACTTACATTTTCTTCTGTTCAGTGTTGTTTATGAAAAACATATGATTGAGCCAGGCATGGTGGCACATACCCTCTAATCCCAGCACTCTGGGAGGCTGAGGCAGGAAGAACACAAGTTCCAGGCTAGGCCAGGCAACTTGGCCACCTAGTGAGACCCTAGGCCAAAATTTCAAAAACAAACAAAAGGCAAAAAGAGCTAGAGATATAACTTCATGCAAAGGACCTGGGTTCACTTCTCAGCACCACAAACACACCCTGAAATCTTTAGAAGTAGACTATATATCCTGTTTTTACTTTAAATCAAATGACCATTTATACTTAAGATGAACTATGACAGTGTTTGCTTTTTCAATCATAAGATTAGATGCCGAGAGCCAAGGAACTAATTTTTATGGATCAACTTTTTTTTTTGTTTGTTTTTCTGAGACAGGGTCTCACTACATAGTTGAGACTGACCTGGAACTCACTATGTAGCCCAGCTTGGTCTCGAACTCACAGCCACTCTCCTGCCTCAGCCTCCCGAGTGCTGGGATTACAGGCGTGCACCACCATGCCCGGCTTTATGGATCAATTTTAAAGCCTTTACTAAAGATATGAATTTTGAAGTTTTGTTATTAACGTGGATATTTCAGTGTATTCCCATATGCACTGAGCAATGAAGTAACTTACCAAGTGCTCATTTCACTCTTCTCCCTCTGCCTCTCATAGACAGTCCTAGAGTCTGCTAGGCCCATTTGTTCTATAACCCTCAAGAATTTGGATTACAATAAGTAAACTCTAATGTTCCTGAAGAAAGAGTTTTCCTAACTTTTAATCATTACACGTTGAAACATCTTTTTGTTACCTTTATTCTTAAAACACTTATTAAGCTGTATATGGAACTATAAATCTCCAAACAACCTAACTACATTTATTTTAAAATAATTTTCAGGCTATTAAATTATTTTCATGTCCTTTGGAGTTGAATCAGAATCTCGATTGTTGATCTGGCTGGCTATCTTGAAGTGTGGCTGTCACTTTATGGAAAACAAAGTAGTTGCTGCAATTGATAAACTTTGAGCTTTTATGTAAAATTTAGTTTCCTTCATGTGTTTTAGGGCATTTGAAACAGGCTCAAGTTGGTATTGCCCCCCTTTCTATTCTGGTCTAGTAGCTCTATGGTCTTTTGTCCCAAGGCTTTTAAGTCCCCTAGATCAGCACACCTTATGATGGGAGCCCCAAATCACCAACATATGAGAATATTCGTTATCACAAACCTAGACCTTCAGCCAGCAAGTAGATTGGTCCAAGTTTTGTACTTGGAGGCTATTTCTCTTTCCACCCTTTCGTAGTAAGTACACAGCTGTACGTAAGACATTAAGTCCAGATAGATAGACTTCCCTATTCTGCTCTCTATCTAGACTCCTGAGAGAGCTCCCAAGACTCAGAACTCATAAAATAAAACATATGTATATGAATACTAAGGCATTATTTACATTTTCCAATGTGTTGACATTTGCTTTGATTAAGCAAATGCATTGGAGGATAAAACTGCCGAGCCTTAGTAACAATCAGCCTTAGTACCAAACTATTTCATTGCCACACACTAGCAGTTAAACAGTTTCACCTAAGAATGTCTTTGATGAAGCAGTTATTTTTTATTAAGTCCGACACACTTAACATTTTGTGTGATGAAATGGAAAGTGCAGACTTTTGCTGCATACCAAATATAATGCCTGTCTCCACAGAAAGGATTCAAGCAATTGAGCTGTAAGCTGAATCACTCACTTTTTTTATATCACTAAATGCTCTCCCATCTTCACAAATTATGGGAAATTCTATCTTCATTATCTTACCAGATATTCATTCAGCCTACTTCAATGTGGCTTCTGATTTGACTGGAACATGGAATTGCTCTTGCTAAAGCTACCACCAGCCTCTTGGCTACCAAAACCAAGGAACACATTTTAGTCCTTATTTTACTTAACCTCTCCATCGCTCCTAACAATTCTGAGTACTCTTTACTTGAAATTCTAATAGTGATGCCAAGATATTATTGCTCTCAATCTTTCTAGTGATTCTTTTTCTCTGCTGGCAAACATATTATGAATATCCGGCCCATACATAAGTGTTTTAAACTCTAGGTCCACAAACACAACTGCACACAGAGTAACAACATTTTATGATCTTAAAGATCTTTCATAGCCTTAATGACCTTCCACAAATATTTGCTCCTCTTCCACTTAGTGACTTACCTTGGATAATGACCCACCACCAACCCACGCCAGAAATATGGCAGTCATCTTAAGAGTCCTCCTTCTTTAACTTCTAAATATATTCTAATTTCTAAACCTCTCTATCTTCATTACAACTAATTTTAAGCTCTAATAAATTCTTATGCAATATATCTCCCTCCTCCAATTCTGATCCTTTCTTTTCAATCCATCTTCTACTGCTAACAAAATAAAACAATTCTAAAAGGCAACTATAATAGTACACAAGATCCTAGTGAGATAATTGACAATGTGAAATAGGAAGAAAAGGGCTAAAGGTGTAAGGAAAGTGGGAAGGGTAGGGAAAAGAAAAAATAGAAATAAAATGTTTGTAAATGGGGAGAGGAGGAGCGGGTGAAGGGAGGAAGGGGAAAAAAAGAGAACCAAGACCTGTCGTGTAAAGGTACAAGATCCCAATAACGAATGTAACTGTACTGTATACCTAAAATGTACCAATAAACTAAAAATAAATTAAAAAAGGCAAGTTTAATTATATTATTCACTTGGATTCTGGGCTTATGTAGAAACTATCCAATAAAAAAACCAATATTCTATACCTAGTACACAGGCATTTTTCTAGTGAAAGGATCCAAGATTAACCCCAAATGTAGCAAGCCCTTTGGAACCTGTCAGAATCATCTCAAACCACATCCTCTTTACCACTATGTATAGATGCCAGCCAACTCCCAATTACTTTCAGTTCACATACCAGGCTGTGCTGCTTCAACTTTTCACCCCAATGTACATCAGATGCCCTCAGCTTGGAGAGCCACCCTAACTTGCTCCCCAAGTGAACAAGTACTCATCCTTCCAGTGTTCTTTCATCTATGAAGTTCTCCCTAGCTTATCTCTCTTTCTTTCTCCCTATACTTTGTAGACACCTTTATTATAGTATTTCTCATAGGACATTTTCAAATCCTCCATCCTTAAGAAATCTTGAGGAAAAGATCATTTTATTCAGGTCTGTATGCTAGTGTTTACCATAGTGCTTGTATATAATATACACTCAAATATTGCTTGAGTAAATATTCACGATAACATTAACAATATGCTGTTTTATCACAAAATTATTTCCTGCATAATATAAAATTGAAAGTATTTCCACAAGAAGCTTAAAAGTTTCTCCCAAATACTTCAGAAAACGAATGAATCTATCACTAGCACTTCAAAGAAAAAGTCTATGATTTTTAAAAATTGAAAATACAAGCACAAAAAGAAACTTCTTTCAAGTAAAAATCTTCACGTAAAGCTTCTCAATCTTGACATTTTTGTGGTGCTGGGATTGTAATTCAGGGCCGCACATGTGCTAGGCAAGCTCTCCATAAAGGCCATTCCCCCCAGCCTCCTAATCTTTAAATTTGATTAGCCTGGTTAATTATGTAATTTCTCTAGGAATTTTTAATTTTTTATGCACAAATAATGTCCTTTATATTAATCCTGGATACAGGTTTGCATAAAAATTCATGTCTTTAAAGTGGGTATTTGTGTGAAATAAGCACTATTTTGATTTTCAGAGAAGCAGCAAAACTTTGGGATGTGGTGTATGGAGGAAATCAGAGAATGGTGTATGTACTCATCAGAGAATCTTGAGTTTCTGTTACTTTTTAAAAACATCCTAGCAGGAAACTATAAGTTTCTCCTCTTCTTTACTACTTTATCACGAAAACAAAGGGTAAAGAGTTACGGGCATAAATGTTGCTGACTATAAACACGACCTGCCTGCATATTGGACAGAGGCCAGCTGTCTATTAATAAGGTCCTGAAAATCACCATCGAAATATGTTCTGGGCCACGGAGTTCAAAGGAAACCTTCAGTGCCTGGTAAATTTACTAAACCCTCCAAGTAGACTGATCATTGCCAAAGTCAAATGAGTAAGTCTCCTTTCATGTTAATGATTGTGTTTCACGAATGGACTCGCTTGCAAGGACCTAACACAAGCTTGACGTCCGTCCCTTCCTGGCATGCTGGAAAATGAACCGAATTCACTCGATAAGTTTCCCCTGCTTCCCTGACTCACAGTTTCATTATTTTTAACAAGAGCCGGCCTTAAAAGCAAACTCAGGGCGCAATGTTCGCCCGATCTGGTCCACTGGGGAGGAGGGCGCGGGCGGCCCGGACTCCTGTTGGCCCGCAGCAGGAAGGAAGCCCGCTCTCGCTTCGCGGGCTGCAGCGGGGCCCGGAGAAGCGCAAGCCC